TATAACTACAAAAAATGTGTATATTTCTTTCATAAATGAAAAATTCTACATTTAAAAGTAATAAAGAATTTTAAGTGACACAAAAAGCCATTTTCCTTCTTGCTATTTTTCAAGAATGTATTCAAGTAAAATTAGATTATATATAATAAATATATTTGATATATATTTAAAATGAACATTTCAAAAGCATATGCAACATTTCTATCATAAAATAAGTGCTTTATACAAGAGTGCAAAGTTACAGATTTCAAAATATTGAAATTGAAGGCACAAATAATTCAACTAAAGCAATGCTCTACATAAGAAAATAAAAAAATGTGAAAAAAAATGGTGACCAATCACACACTACAAATAACTGAAATTTAGTAAAAAAATTCCTGCTACAACTATACAATAAAGATGCTAAAATGATATTTCAGCTATGTGATAAAAAAAATTAAACTTTAAGTAAAAATGATTTTTAAAAATTGAAATAAACAATGCCTACAAAATTATATATATCATGCATTTGTTTATTTATTTTTGAAAATAATAATGTAGCATTCTTTGTTGTTTTTGTTTTTTTTAAATAAATAGCGTTAGGTGGTCAATTGATAAAAAAATTGTTTGATGAGACCATAAGATCGAAACCAAGGTTGTGTATTCAACTGACCTCCTAATTTTTAAAGTTATATATAATTCTTTAAAGGCCAAAATGCTCCATTAAAATAAAAAAAACAATTAATAATAGTGTCATAATAAAATAAATTGGCTGTTATAATAATGAGATGTCATGTAAATCAGTAATTTATTCACAAATTTCATATTGTCTTTATCATAATGCCTTAACTAGTGTGTTCCCCAAATATTTTGTATTTATAAGACAAAAAGTATTTTTGAATAGCTAAAAAGTTGATTTGAAAACTAGTCTCAGTTCTTTATTTTAATATCTCAAGTAAATTTTAAAGTTAACATCTTGCTCATCAAACAATTTCAAAATGTTAAAAGTAACCCTATAAAACATACTTGAAAGTAATCAATATTTAATTAACAAAATAATTGTCTTCATTAACATTTTAATGTTCAAGATGATGTATATGGATTAAGTTTTCACAATTAAACACTGAGTAGCTAATCATGATTTACTAAGTTACTTCCATCAAGTATACTGTTAATATATTTGGTAATATTGATACAATTTATCTTGTTTAGAATGCAACTTTCTATCTGAATTTTTGGGATGAGGAGTTATTATGTACACTATTTACAAGCAGTCTATTGCTCTTATCTTTGTTGTTATGACAATGTTTTGGATTTTGAACCTCCCAGCCTTCATCTGTATATGTCAATCAGGGTAACCTACAGGGAATTCCGAACTGAAACTTTTACTTAATCTAGGGGTTCCCATTTCACTGTCCATGTCAAAGAATATCTCATCTAGATCTTACTTTTAGCACTGATTAATTATTGCTCACTCTCTTTCTACTGAGTCAAAATACATATTGCCCATCTCAGGGATTGAACTCACAATTACTATGTCACCAAATTCATGAACCAACTTTTTAATCCACTTGGACAATTTTCTATAGAGAACTTGGAGCCTTAAACCTAACCTGCCTGCTAATGAGTGCTGCTGCTGCTGCATACACCTGATACACCGGAGTGTACAACAGCCAAAACATTGTGATAATAACAACAAAGATGAGGATGATAGCCTGCTTTTAAATAGTGTAAATTAATGCAACTTGTTTATCTAAAATATTTAAAGTAAGCATTTTTTTCATTTTATAGTATGAATACCAGTACTTTTAGAAAATAATGAATACAAGCTAGATTTTATATATATATATATATATATATATATATATATAAGAAATCTTTTCATGTCCATATAAAATATAGTAACAAACTAAATCAGTGAACTAGTATAAATCTAATTTACCACAGTAAATTTGGCACAGATTAGTGTTTGAAAGGTTAAAAATATGTACTTACACAAAAGCTTAGTAAAGTAGAATCATATGTGAACTATATCAAATCATTTCATCAGGACAGATGTTTATGTAACAGGTTTCAAAACAAGGTTCAGTTAAAAAATTAGATTCAATGTAATAAATCTGGTTCAGTCAATGAAAGCAACAGATTGCTGGTGATAAAAGAAAAATCTTCAATACTATGAGTTGCAGTAGACCAAATGTAGAATAAAATAAAAAGACAGAGAAACAATGGAAATTAGTCCAATTTAACATTTGTACTTTTTATCCACTTCCTTTCTTGTAACCCTTCAAATGTATAGTTAATTTCTGCATCATTATAAATAAAATATTAAAAATTGCTTCATTCATACAATACATAACAGTAAAATCTCTATATATTTCTACCTATTTGCCATTTGAACTTTCATAGTAGCAACAGCTTTTATAAAAAATTTTAATGACAGCAATGTTACAGTTAGAATTTTCATAACTTGTAAAGCCAAAGGTATTCCCTTTTAGGAATGATCCAGTACATGTATCAATCTCTTATTTTACTATGACTATGTAGATTAAAGTAAAAAGGCTATAAATATCTAGTAATGACTGTCCTTTTACCAACTCAAGTAGAAGTAAACATAATAGAAAGATGTAAGCACCAAGGCCAAATAAAAAGGCATGTACAGTGGTATAATGATTGGAGAATGCACAGATTAAATACATTAACATAAAATGCTTATATAAAGAAATTACTGAATTAAAATTGAAAAATGATTTACTCTCAAGGCATCTACTTGCCAAAAACTGAGTAAGCTCTTAAAAAAAAAAAAAAAAAAAAGAACTTAACAAGAGAGTTAAATTAAATGTTTTAAGACTAAGCACTAACCAACACAGAGAAAAGTCATCTGATGATAAACCAGGAACTAAGTTATTCAGCATATTTGGCTAGTTTTCATTAATTTTCACTTGTCAAAATTTTAAAAAGTATCCACTTTCATTTATAAAATGACATTTCTTTTATGTCATAAGACATTTCAGAATAAATTCTAGTGAAAACTGGTCACAACTTCACATGATTCTTCTCTGTGCTTGTTTGATATACAAGTTACCATACTTGTGATAAAAAGTCCAAAATGCCAAGGTTAACAGGCAACTCCTTCTGAAAACAACCAACAGTAATAAAATATTTACAAGGAAAAAATATTTATTTCAGAATAAAATGCAGGCTTTCAAGTTTGATGTAAAGAAAATTCCACCCTTTTCTTTTCATTTTATTATGCTTTCATACTTCAACCACCAAATCTCCAAAAAGATGTAAGAATTCATCTGTGAGCTGGCCAAGATTAAGTTGTTAATTTTTTTTTTTTTATGGTGCAGGTAGAGGGATACAGTTTTATTTTTAGATAAAAAAGAAAATTTAATAAAGCATTAAGAAAAAACTCTACAACTTCAGATACTGAGAAAACTTTTAGAAACACACAAAAGTTAATTACCAATGTATCAAAAGTTCTGGTTAAAGCTCAAATTATTAAACAAGTACACCTCATTGTTATTACTAATGATATTGTGCCAACAGGTTATTATTGTTGAATTACTATCAGTATAAGATCTTTCATTGCAGAAACAAAACACACACACAGTGATAATTCTCTTAGTTTCTGGCAAAATAAGCTATATGAAATTTCCATAAAAGATAGATAAGTTTACACAGGAACCATATAAGTCATTTTGATTTTTCAATTTTGTTACTTTTACTTTATTTTGCATATAAGATATAATTGCTTTTAAGAGATACTCAAATGTCAGTAAAATATCAGTCCATATACCTAATTAGTCCTAAGTTGAATGTGATTAGCCTAAGAAAATCATTAAAAAAATTAGAATGCCAGTTCTAATGGTTTTAAAACGATACCAGAAAAGCAGCAATGTAGCTAAATATTTTTTCAGATTTGTTTTTATTAGATAAAGGAATGAAAGAGGTGTGTTGCCTACAGAAATAGCATATATCTGTTGTTATTCAGTTCAAATTTTCCCTTGAATTTGTTACTTCATCAGCCTTTAAAGCATTGGTAAAATATAGATATGAAACACAATGTACATTTTAAATTAATTCTACTCCATATACTTTCTAAGTATATGGAGTAGAATTAATTTAAAATGTACATTTGGGTTAGGGATCATAAAATGACCAAGAGTCAGTAAACATTTTGGTCATAGCTTATAAAGCCATTTTAAAGTTAAAATCTGAACCAACAATTTTGTCATATGAAAGAAAGAAATGACATTCAATACAGACACATGCAAAAAAAAAAAAAAAAAAAAAAATATATATCCTACATACACTTAAGAGTCTTAGCAGCCAATAAGACTAATAATTCAAATTCAATGACAAAATATGTCAAGAGAAATATAAGTTAATCAGTTTGATTTAATGCAGTTGTTGATGTATATTTCAAGTAAGTTGTGCCTTCCTCTGAGAATTTTCAGTGTATAGGAATTTTTGTTGCAATATTCTCTTAAGTGTAATTAAAGATTAATAAAAGCAATTTAATCAAAAATTCTTGTGAGCCTTAAAATGAGAACAAAATCAAAAAAGAAATGAATTTCAGCAAGAAAATATTCATACAAAAATTAAAAAGAAAAGACATTTATATTATCTATTTCAATACAAAGTAAAAGGTATAGGTTTTAATTTTGTTGAACCATGTTAAAAAAATAAGTCACATTTATCACAGACTTTTTAAAATAGGTTGCCCCAAAGCATTAAGATTGAGTCTTTTTTTTTTTTAAATACAAGTCTAAAAATTTCAACCAAGTGTAGAAATTCTTGAATATCAAAATACACAGGTGTCAAGACAAAACTCAACATTATGCTCACAAGAACTGAAGAAGATGAAAATGCTAGAACTGGTCAGTTAAGGTTCTGTGAAAGAAATGATAAGAGCTTGGCTATGTACTTGAAAGATGAAATTTCAAGGTAAATAATGCTTGAAAAATTACACATGTTGCATTTTAAATTTAAAGTCAATAAAAGTAATTAGGGTTTACCTTAAAAACAAAAGGAACATCTTCAACGATACTGTCCTTTCGCTGCTTGGCAACGAGCTGCCTATAATACATCTCATCATCCACTAAAAAAAGAAAAAAAAATATCTGTATTAACCTATAAAGAATTTTTTATGAAGACATTAGTTTCTTGAAATAGAAAACATTTAATTTCTTCTAATTATTAAGTAAGACTGCACAACCTGGTTTTTCTTCTCTTGTAAAACTGGGTACTAGAATAGAAAAATTTCAAGTTTAAATTTGGTTATAGACATATTTTTATTTGAATTGATAGAATTAGCTGTGTTTTTTGTTTTTAATAAATTGTTTATTCAAAAATTATATCTATTGAAAAAACATTCCTATCAATTAAAATGAATAAGAAAAATAAAGTTTAAAACTAACAACAGGTATTTGTTGTTATTATTATTTACATGTAGATTATTGTCTTCATCTTTGTTGACAATTCCTCATCTCAGAAGTGCAGCCAGAAATGATTAATACCTGCTTTTTATAAAACATTGCTGACTGTAAGAATGAATTTGAAGTAAAACTGAAAAAAAATTTTAAATAAATTTTCCTCTTGAAATATTATTTTGATTAGCATAATATTTATTTCTAGGACTTGAGATTTCATGTTATAAAAATTGTTTGAACAATAATATTATGTAAAGAATGAACAAAGAAACAAGTAGAAACCAATTAAAAAGGTGAATAGCTTTACTTACTTCTGAGATCCCCTGTGCTAGCTCTCCGACTTAGGAATGGAGATTCTGTGTTTGTCTTTTTCAGTATTGATCGTAATGGAAGTTGTAGTGTATCATAATGGTAATCAGTCTCATCCTTAAGACTTAGCTAGAAAACAAAAGAGAAAAGACTTACACACACAAGAAAACAATTAGATGACTGGAATTTAATAAATTCTATTTACTATATACATGTATATATGTTTATCATTAGACAATAAAATGGATAATTTTCTGTCAAATAAGTAAGACAACACACTAATAAACTTTTGCCAAAGAGATCAAAGAGTTAAGTTTTTTTTTGAGTAAGTGAAAGTCAAATTTTGAATTATTAATAAATATTTGAAAATTTCTAATTGGAAATTTATATATTTCATTGGTAGATAGAAGTGTTATGATTGCATCATATTTAATATTTGATTTTCATAATTGAAAAATGATAACATTAAGATATTACAAAATTGTTGATTTTTAAATGATGTATCTCATTATCTATAACACTATTAAAAAAAATGAAAGAATTTAAAAGAATATTTGAAATTCACAAGACATTTACAAATGTGAGGCTTCAATAAAATAGTAAGAAGAATGTGAGGGGTTATAACCACCAAACAGGTATTAACTACAAATATTTGGGGAAATTATGGATAGGAAAGCTCCAAGAAAGCATAATACAAAAGGTTAGAGAAGGGTAATGCAAAAGTATGAAATAAGTTTAACAACTCAACAGCTGGTAGCCATAATGATAAAGAGTGGTCTTTAATACAAATAAAAATAGGTTATAAATTATTTCTGTAAATATTTTCTTTTAAGTGATTTATTTTTTAAATTATAAGATTGAAATATAAAAATAAAGTCAAGATTTTGGTGTATATAGTATAGTGGGATGCTGAAAATTTCTTGGCCTGATCAAGAAGCCTTTCCAAAATAAATTGTGATGTTTTGTCATTTGGTCAGATTTTAGAAAGTTAGCCAGTCCAAAGACTTTTCAGCACCCCATCATATTTCTAAAAATTTCACACATTTAAAAGATTCTCAAGAAAATAGACATGTTGGTATTTCAGCATTTATTGGTATGTCCAAGTCATACAAGATGTAACACAAGGCAGAGTTTTGTGAGGGATTTTGGAAACAGTTCAAAAACTACTCAAGTCCCCTCAGACCTTCCTCTATTTGGGGAATACCACTGATGCTAGGTAATGACACCAGACCCCTCCCAAAGGAGAGTTACTGCTTGGGGGTATGCCCCCACCCTGGGCTCAAACTAATATTAATTTTGGGACTGCCCAGCTATGGAATATATATGTAAGCTTTTTTTTCTTTAAAGACAAAAAACACTGAGACTGTGTAGAATTATCATTCTGAGATTTAAGGTTTTTGGTTTTATGTTTAAGAGTCAAAAGTAAAAAGAAAAAAGTGCTTTTTGCAGTGTTATTGCTGTTGTATCATGCTTTGAAAAAATCATTGCCAAAAAGTTTTTAATTAAAAGAAAATGTACTGAAAAGTTGACAAAATGGTTAAAAAATTTTCTGCCTTTTATATTTCATGGACCTGAAATTTCAAAAATAAGTAAATTTTGCTTTGGTAACAATCAGCATCAAAAAAAAAAATTAAGGAAAAATATCTTGAATACAAAAAAATGACAAGAAATCAATTATTAAATAAGAATCCAGCAATATATTCCATGTAAATTTTGAACTCTTTCTTGTTCTTAGTAGATGTACAGAATGTATATAAAAGAAGGTAATAGGTACAAATATAATCAAATTTAGATTGTTTATAATATCAATGAGTTCAAAGTTTTTGTAATAAACCTTCTCCTGCCAGCTGAAAGCACAAAATGCATGAATTTTTTTTAATAAATATGGCTGCAAAATTAATAATTACATCATTGTTTCCAACAACTTTTTCCTTTTTAATGTCAATACATGATTAAGTTTTTACTCATTCTATTTGTAAAATGTATTGTAGCTAAATTACTGGTATGGATTTTACAGGTAAAGTGAATCTATACCTGGTGGTCAGTTGAAATGAGAATTAACTTGATAAGTTGATGTGAGAAGTTTAGATAGTAAAAACAGATAATTTGGATTTTACTAATATACCAAAAGTATCCTAGAGTCTATTTTTTCTACTCAAAGTGGAATTTACCATTTTGAACAAAAATGCCCAAAGAAAGTAAAACTTGAACATAAAGAAATGTGAAATCTATGTTTATCCAGGATGAAAAGCTCAGGTGAAGGATGTTAGCCAAAAGAAAAAAAGAATTTTCATAAAAGTGCTGATGGCTTCTTTTGATCTACTATGTGACACAAGAATTAGAGAAACAAATTGACCATGGCACAGAACCTATTTGGAGACATCAAAACTGGACAGATATTCTTTGTGGACAAAATGATGGATTGCTGTCTGTGATCATCCATTTTTTCCCATTTGTGGGATGGGAAAGTAATTCATGAAAATATAAAAAAAAATGTAAATAATGTAAATTGGTTGAGGAAATTTAGTTGGTGACATAGCCAGAATAACCCACCCTAATAGTGAGGGTCAAAGATTTTTCAACTAATGGGTACATGAGAAACTGGAGTCAGGTTTTGAACAAGCCAAATCTGAAGGAGCTTGAAAATGATAAGTTGGGAGCCATGTTGGAATACCTCAATGTAAGCAAACCAGTTTTGGCCCTTAGACAGCTGTGGCCTTGTTGCCAGAGAAGACACTGCAAGTTTTAATCCTTTACTTCATTATCCCTTTCAACATACTGCTCAAGAAGACTTGGCCAACTTAAAAAAATTTTCTCTATCTTCAGTTTCTGTTTACAGACTGACAATTTAGCAAAAGTGGATCAGGCTTTGGAGATCCAACTTTGCCTACAGGCTTGAGATCAATATTCCCTGATTGAATTGTCAAACTGATAACCAGTCACCAATCCAAAGCATTGCTGCTGTTTCTGTAATACATCATAAATGACATCAACATATACTATTTCACCAACCAGATGTAGTTAAGTAGAACACAGCAGATCTGATAACTGTAACCCTCAACAAATAAACTTCCTGTTATTGTTTTTACAAGGAAGAATTGGTTGTCGATTCTGAAACATGCTTTTCTTTATTTCTCTTAAAATTTACACTCTTCTTTTTTGTGAATATTTCAACCAGATTTGCCTAAGACTTTTCAAAACAAAAACTTAAGCACTTGGGTTGGGGATGATCTACTGATAAAGTGAAACAACTAGTAACAGGAGACAAGAGACTAGTGTTATAGTAATAATTTTTTTTTTTTAAATTTTGTCCTGAAGTTTAAATTATAGATGATCTAATATATAAAGTTCAAAGTTTGTGTACATATGTGTGTCTACACAAAACTCTGAAAATTATTCTATATAAAACTTGATTGTGTGTGCGTAATTATTACATAAAAAACTAACAACAAATAAATGAGATTTTATAATTTATATCAACCAGCATTGACTAATATCTTGCCCAACTTGGTAGTTCTTGATTAATACTACATTGATATGTTCCTTAGTCTAGTTATAGATTTCTTACTCGAGCTGGAAGAAGAATTTCAAAGAGGAGTGCAGGAAAAGCAATAGGTCAACTAAGGGAGTTAAACCTAAAAGGTTCTGGGAGGTGTAGTGGGATTGGTTAAGCTAATACTAATTAGCATAACCATATCACTATATATAGGCAGAACTTGAGATAGACATGGAGGGGAAAGTCACTTGTGACGACTACTACAATTGTGCATATATTAACTTCATAACAAGGAGCAAATGTTTTAATTTTGGAAAAAGAGATATTATGCAGCATATAGTTCTGACCTTGATGAAAATGATATCTGGAATGCAGGTAGGTTACATATATAACTCAATGACAATGTCAGAAATCAAAAAAAGAATGAATATTAAACTGACAATCCTAAATGTGTTAGGGAACTTTAATCATCATTTTTCCTTCTGCATCAATCATTATATGAATAAGTAAATGTATCTTTCAGCTCTGAGTTTTCTAATTAAGGTCATATAGTGTATTAAGGCATAGAAAAACAAAGGAAGAGACTTTATTTGATCTGCTACTATGGAAACAATATCATGGTTGATGACTTGTTAAATATGCAAACTTTTTTTTCTGATGAGAATAAAAAGAATCTACCTATGAAGTTTGATTTCAATCTGACTGTGTGGCCTATCATAGCTTTCTAAATCCATACATTTTTTCCATTATCTTCCAAGTGAAGTGACTTATGAGAAAAAGTAACTGACAATTGAACGTTTCCATGTGACTCAACATTAATAAGGAAAGTAAGTTGTTGTCATTTCCTACAGAAAGCAACTATAATCACTGTAATTAGAAATGCAACAGAAGGAAATGTAAAAAAGGTAACAAGCCAAGACAAGGAAATACAGAAGAAAAACAATTGAAGCTCTTTGCCTTCTGTTAAATCACATGACATGTTAAGATACACTTGGAAAGGTTGAGAAAGAATGGGGTAAAAGACTAAAAGATGAAAGAGTTTAATAAAAAAGAAATAAAAGAAAGATAGAAAAGAAACTAAAACTTTTACTATTTTAATCAAATTGCATACATACATACATAGTTATTAAATGCACTATTTTATATAGCTGTGTAAGCATGAACTCTTAATTCCTGTAAAGAATCTTTAATATTGATGCTCAAATCTCATAAGAATTTTAAGAAAGAAAAAAAATGAGTGATTAAAATTATAATTTCCTTATTTTCTTTTTTTTTTTTACAGGAAGTGATCAAATGTGGAATATTATAAGTGCATTGAAAGCAAAGTTTAGACTCATTTGTTACAGGAAGTTGAGAGTTAAATACCAATGAAATCTGAATTCACACAAGGAATAATAGCTAGCAAGTCAAGAATTATACATGCTAAGAACAAAACAGCATTTAGCAGTACTGGTTTTATAAATATAGTTAACTTAATATGTTTAGAATTTCATGTCAGCACAGCTGAAATGTGTAATACATGCTTCTCTAGGGGGGAATTAGCACTAAACTTAGATGTAATTGCATGAGTTAATTTCAAATCTCAGGAGAGTCTTTTTTATTTTGATTACCATTAGCAAAAAATGGAAAAATA